CCTTGCGGAGGGAGGGAGGGAGGGAGGGAGGGAGGGAGGGAGGGAGGGAAGAAGCGACGGAAGGAGGGACGGAGGGGAGAGGGGGAGAGAGCGTGTAGACGAAAGTCACATCAACAAATCATCGAGGCAGCACGGTTTTGTGAGGCTGAAAATATCCAAAAATACCTGAAGGCATGACCTCATCGATGCAACCATGCAGAACATCAGATGAAGTAGCAAATACTACGGCGGGCTTCCTGTTTTCCAGCCCTCCCACAATCGGGAAGAGCACTCAACAAGCGCCAGCCGCAGCTTGTGCCTCGCTTTCCCCCCGCCGCCTCCTCACCCCGCTTCTATTCTGATAGCTCACCTGCTTCCGTCCAACTCTTCGTTTCTTGCTTTGGTGACCTCTACGTGCTCCCGTCGTTCTCCCGCGTCCGGACTCTGCATGGTCAGGATCCACTTGTTGTTCTCGTCCGCTTGCATCGAGGCAACATTGTCGAGCTCGCACTTGACCTTGAGAACGAAAACCTGTCATGATCATGCGTGGCCGTCGTTGTTGACGGTGCTGTGGTGGCCCTGATGGATGGTTGCTGTCCTCTTTCGTTGTTGGGAAAGGGCGTTTGAACCAAGATAACATTCCACCTCTGTTGCTTACTGCCACGCAATAAGAGTTGAGCAAAATACCTATTTCCACCACGTCGCGCATTGAATAGAGCACAACGAGGATCATTGTGCGTTAAGCGACAACTCCGTTCAAACCCAACGCAACTGTTAGGTCAACTTTATCCCTATGTTCAATCTTCATCCAGTCTTCCAGCCCAGTTAAAAACGTTGTATACGTGTACAACAGAGAGAAGGTAAAACAGAAGGGCAGCAGCCGTGAGGATTACGCGTGCTTGAAAAGGCATACTTAATCAACGCCCAAGCTATGGCGGTGAGGCATATATATGGTGAGGCATATTCCCACCAGTCCCGCAAAGCGCGCACTACTGCTGTACTCTAGATGTAACGTTTCTACAATGAATTCCATGGCAAGAGACGACGAGAGAGGGGCGGGCCCGTGTAGGTACACAGATGTGAACCTGAAGAAAGTGTGAATGAAACCCAGCGTGGAACTAGCGCACGTATTATTCTAGAGGAGAGGTGTTTTGGGGTGCAGCACATCATATACTCTCTTGTGTTGTGTTTAGAAACCCCGCCAAACATGGTGCTTTCACGTGAGGGAGCTGCCACCGGCAACCGGTCGCTCCCTGATCTGGACACCGCAATAAACCCGCTTCAGGATCGACCACTGCACCGCGCTCAACGCCCGCGAGTGTCGCGAAGAGAAAATGCTTGTATTGCTTGTACATGAAGTGGTGTTGTGCATCAACCGAGCTCCGCCTTGCTACATATCGAACGGTTGGAACAATCCTACAGCAGCCTACCACGTCTACACAGGTGGAACACAGAGAAATTGCCTGGCAGGTTAGGCCTGTTAACCTACAGCAGCAGGCTGCTGTTGGTGCTGGATGCAAGGCAAGTTGACACGATGGGCCTCATTTGAAGCGCGCTGCATATAGACATATGCAGCGGGCTGCTGTTGCAGGCACGCATCCAGTTGTTGACACTATACCGACACTTACCGGCATGGCGGCAACGTGTCACCAGGTAAGGGCTGACGTTGGCGTGTCGGCCGTTGTCTGTGTGTGTTTGTACGAGAGGTCGGGGAGAAATCCGGGGTTTGATAAAGAGTGCCGAGGGGAGGATGGTGTGTGGTGGAAAATCTCACAGTTCCGCCAATCCCACAGTCCCGCCAACTCGTTGAATGTCTCCAATCTTGAATCGATGATTCGATCCTTCCTGGTGGTGTTTGCATATGCTGCCGTGGCTCTCTCTAAGCGGAGCGACAGAAAGAGACAAGAGAGGGACGCCGATCGTTCGGAGAAAAAGAAGAGGGTCGCTCGTCACCCTGCACTCATGATTGAACCCGCATCTCTGCCATGGTCTCGTTGTTGTCTATGCGACGAACTTGGCGCATACGTCTGTCTACAACCATGTATGTTTGCGTGTTGAATATTTTCCCATAGCTATTTTTATGGAGCCCTCAACTCTGGGTGAGGAGAGAGTCCGGAGTGTGGGGGCTGTGACCTGCCACCGGAGCCTGGTTGTTTCCTTCGGGATGTGGCGAGGAATGGCAAGCGTGACCCAGCGAACTCAAGTCAAGTCAGGGTGGTGCGGAGGAAGAGTGGGCGAGCCTTGGTGGATTCATTTTCCTACCCTCCCGAAGATTCATCAAATTCATTAACCAATTCGGAGCTATTTGGGAACCCGTGGGAAGAAGCATGATCTACTATTACCTATCCCTCAAACGAGCGACTTTTGCCCCATTTCAAAATCTTTGAGGATATTTTGCCGAAGATTTTCTCTCATTAAAAGTGAAACAAAATCTTTATCCGCAAGTNGAAGCATGATCTACTATTACCTATCCCTCAAACGAGCGACTTTTGCCCCATTTCAAAATCTTTGAGGATATTTTGCCGAAGATTTTCTCTCATTGAAAGTGAAACAAAATCTTTATCCGCAAGTGTTTGAAAATTTAGAGACATTTTTGAAAAGATTTGGCGACCATAAACATGGGTCTAAGACCCGTGCTTCCTGAATCTCCATATCTTGACGTCACAGAAGACACAAAACAAAACCAGACGAGAGCGTGGGTGAATCTGAATGTTGGATCCACGATGAATCGGGGGACATGAACCAATGCACAGCCGATGATTGAACTTCTACTCTCTCCTTTTCACTCTTCTCACCCCACGCAACACAACACCACAATCACCAACAAGACTGCGAATAAGATGAAGACGTCCTGCCTCACCATCGCCGCGTTGACCCTGGCGAGCGCGGCCGACGAGAAGGTAACTTTTCCTGCGGTAATAGACCATTTAGATAGATAGCATCTTCCCACAACGTTCCATGTTCTGGAATCTCCATCAACTTCGTCGCAAACGTCCTCGTGCGTATACGCAGGTATTGGCATACGTTGTACGTAGTCTAAATACGTGCACAGATACGTCGACCTGANCTTCCCACAACGTTCCATGTTCTGGAATCTCCATCAACTTCGTCGCAAACGTCCTCGTGCGTATACGCAGGTATTGGCATACGTTGTACGTAGTCTAAATACGTGCACAGATACGACGACGAACTCTTCTCCTCACCCTCTTGTGCTTGTGCGTTGCCCCGCAGCACGTATAGGTATATGCACACGTGATTCAGATACATACGTCGACCTGAACTTATCTCTCACTCTTTTGAGTTGCGCCGCAGCAAGTAGGTAAACAATTTACACGAGTGCTTTCGAGCGTGTCCGTATGCACGCGCATGCGCAGCACTACCTGGTATATCCACGGGGTGCTTTCGAACGTTTCAGTATCCACAGCATGCGCAGTAGTACTTACCTGGTACAAAAGGGGTGGTTTCGAAGGTGTCAGTATCCACACACACGCGCAGTAGTCGCAACGCGACCACCGTACATACAAATCGTGCTTCGCCGGTCTCGCGTAGAACCCGTTGTAGGGTAGGATTAGTCTACTATAAAAGGAAGTTTGAAGCTTGTTGACAACATCGGATGGTGGTGGAAGTAGATCGAGGATCGGATTTGGCAAGCAGACTACTACAGCAACAGCCGTAGATACGCATCGGCAGCAGAGGAACCACACGTGGTGCAGGTTCGTAGCTTCGCAGTCAGTCGGACGTTGAAAAGAATGGTTGGTGGGGACTGATGCCATGCAGGGCCTCTCTAATTATTTATTGTTGGTCATGAGGAGGAGCCAGCCAAGAACACAACAGACGAGNGCAGGGCCTCTCTAATTATTTATTGTTGGTCATGAGGAGGAGCCAGCCAAGAACACACACAAANTTTCCGGAAGAATACTACCGGTGGTCCAGAGGTTGTAGCTCTCAACACAGCACATTGCGTGGCGTGAGACTCTCGGGTCGTGCCGGCTACATTATTCCCGTCCGCGAGCCGAAAGAACGGGAGGAAACGGTTAAAACTTGGATGCAAAAAAAAATTGGGCTCATGACAGAGCAGCGACCGTAACGAGATCGATGATCATGCTTCTTAGGGGTGCATGCATGTTGCCGTTCGATCTCTCTAATGATAATGATAATATTCTTCTCAATCTACAGTAGTTGTTTCCAGATATTCTCATGCCGAAGAAAAACATCAACCGGCATCTCGTCGACAAAAACTAAACCCCATGACCAACAGCCGCCGGCTTCTAGGGGTACGAGGAGATACATGAAGATAGATGTGGCGACTCTATTGAAGTGTATCTGTGCAAAGCTTTGTGTGTATCAGCTCCGTAAGGGGCAACCATCTCTACTCGCTTACTTGTGTTTTGGTGTCCGCCTGTCCCCCGCTTCATTGCCATTATTTTTTCTTTTCTTCCTTGAGTGGTTGGACTCACTCTAGGCATCGGCAGGTTCTACCTTCCGTTGACGGTTGAATCTTAGTTTCAGAGGTTTCTGTTTTTTTGTGTGTAATTAGACTATACTTCGGGACTTCCGCAATCATTCGTGTATTGGTCAATCAAGAGGAGGGAAGGAAAAGTTCTCGAGAGTGGTCAAACCAAATTTCAACGCGAATAAACAACTCCCACAACTACCCCACAATAGCTTGGCACTCCTTTCTTGACATCGATCGATAACGTTTTATTAATACTGCGCCTTCATTCGTGGCTTTTTTCCACTTTTGGCCAACCCGCTTGTTAGATGGTGATGTTCAATACTGAGATAGTGATGTAATATGTACAATACTGGTGAGGCCACTGCGGTTCTCTGTTGCTACTGGAGACTCGTACCGAATTACCTAGGACCGTGCCTGTTGGTCACCTTTGATTGGCAGCGCGACTGGCGCGCCGAAGGCGACCAGAAGATCAGCGACCTCAAGAAGCAGTACGAGCACATCTCCACCGACGAGGCCCGCAACGTTATCCTCTTCATCGCCGATGGAAATGGCGTCAACACCAACTACGGCACCCGTCTGTTCCAGGGCCAGATGAACGGCGGCTACGGGGACGAGTTCGAGCTCTCCCATGAGAAGTGAGGGGTCGAGGCATTGGCGCGTGTTTGGTCATACTCGCAAGTTGTTTTATTGCGGACGGGATGCATGCTTGTAGCCTTTTGTTTTCATGATTGTTTTTTCGTTTCCTCCTGAATCCTGTGATGGAAACGTCGTTCTCCGTTAGCCAGCCAAAAAATGATCAAATGGCTACCCGCCGGCGACGGACTCGGGGACATTGGCTGGGATTCCTTACAATGAAGGTCCCGCCTGCAGAGAGGAAGAAAAGTAGGACCTTCTATTGCAAGACCTGTCTACAGATCGAGCACAATATGAGTGGGAAAGGG